TTATGAAGAAAAAAAGTATATATTGTCCAATATAGAGCAGAATCAAGGCATAGATGAAATGCTCTGCTGTTTGGGGCCTCCTGGGATGCAGGGGGGGGCCCTGAATCAATTTATCTGGAAATAATCAGAGCTTTATGATTATATCATAATCATATATTAATAGGAAGGCAATATAAGATAGGGAGCAATGCGTCAGTTGATGATACTTTGCTTTTGTTGTGTTTGTGTTATGTTTTCACTATTCAGTTACAACTATTTATATTTATAAATAATATCTGGTGAAAAAGTGAGGATTAAAGAAAAATAATTCAGTGATTGACATTGTTTGATTGGTGGCTTAATAGTAAACACAAGTTCAAGAACAATCAAGGTTTGCTTTGGGTCCCATGTGACCTGGCTCTATATCTTTATTTAGCCAAAATACAGAACCAACCCGGTCTTTGAAAATAGTCCAACTTCACATCCAGCTTTAGTCCTTTTCTAATTTTATAATTAGAAACAAGTTGAAGAATGGTGAGGAAGAATATAATCTGGGTAAACAACCCCAATTCCAACAATGGCCAAGTAAAAAAAAACAAAAAAAAAAGAACAGATAACTGGTCATTGATACAGGCCAAAATAAAAACGGACCAGATGTCTATCCTGGCAGTCTGTGGTATTCTATAGCAGGATCATACGTCATTAACAGTAAATCTTTGACTGTGATAACTATGTAATAACTCAAGATAAACATTACAAGGTGACATCTTACAAGCTCTGCCTAGATGTAAACCGGTGTTTACATCTATTTTCATTGGACTTTTAAAATCGTTTATCTCAATTAAAATCTGCTCAAATCTGATGCATCCAGCCAATAGTTTCCAAACAAGTAACATTAGAAATCTACTTTAGATAGGCCTAGCAAATATGTCTGTATATATCTGATTAATAAGTTATACAAGAAAAAAAAAAAAACTCTTATTCCTAAATAACAGGACGAGAACACTGATTTAAAATCAGGGTATTGAATATTAGTTGATGGCATCATTCTTAAGACAATAAAGGGTATTAGTGTGAAAACATAATCTCTAATGGATAAATCCCAAGAAAATATTTTTGATTCGATATGAAAAGAATATTATAGCTCTTATCTCTTTTGGGTCACCAAAGCTTAGTTTATAAAAAGCATTTTATCTAGTTTAGCTCAGGCGCTGATGCTCAAGTCAAACCTGCCAGCAGATTAGGTTTCTTAACCCTGAAGCAATCAGGGAAAGGGGTTATAGAGGATACTTTGGAAATGTTTACCATCATCTCTAGCAATTTAGCCTTCATTCACAAATTAATTCATTTTTGTTTCCGTAATGAAAGAGACAGCGAAGCTGCTGTCATGGAAACCACATGGGATCCTCCACCTTACGTCCAAAACACTGGTTTATGTTTGTTGACTGCAGCGGAATCAGGTTTCTTAATAATCACATTTACCGGAGCTATAGTTGTAGGTTTAAAATGTATATTTAAAAAAAAGATGATTTTGGAAAAACACAATTTTAGACATCTATTCTATAGAGTCAATTCTTTATTGTTTATTATTTAACCATATTTAAATTTTGATGAGACTCTGGCCCAGAATACATGTATACTCACAAATTAAAAACTTTTAGAAAACCTGAAAATAAGCAACTTTAGGAGACTCTAAAACATAACCAGAAGGAAAAGGAAAGGAATTACAATATGAACTCTTTACAGAATAAAATAGAACCCCTCATAGACGATATGTAGTATTTACATAAAGTGCAGCATGTGCTAAAGAGGATGAACTAGTCTGGTGGTTTATTCGACTGCCAGCAGGGGTGTTTGCCATTTCCAAATTAATCTTTAGCTGCTTTATAGCATATCAAAAATATCATTTATATTTTTAATATTCATTTATCTTTCCAACTTATCAGGTATAGCTCTATGACCAGCAAAGGCACTCTAGCTGCTGAACTGACAGCTCTGTACCAGAACCAGCTCTACTTCCTTTATGGATCTGAGCTACGGTAGCTGAATCGGACCAAACAATCCAACTTCACTCTCCTTGATTCTGTCATTGGATCACTGCTATTTCTTCCTTGAACCAATGGCTTTTTCAATGATCTCTGATCAAACGAGGACATTTAACCAAGTTTTTAAAGGTCCTTATTGGAAGAAAATGGATGGATGGATCTAAGGCACCTTACACCGTTTCCCTGACAACAAAGACTATGATGGGCTGTTTATTGCTCCATAACAGAAACTTTCTTAACCTCATATGAGATTTTGCATGCTCCAGTAAGTTGATGCATTCATTTAAAACAAAAACCTTCTACGCATACCACACAGGGAAATTATTAAGCATTACATTTAGAAAATATGAATAATTTTATTGGCTTACATTAAAAACTTTCCAACAGTTCCTTTTTATAGTGCGGGGGCAGCGGGGGCCCTGTACAGATTCAGTACTATGTAGTGGACGCTGAAGTTGATTAACTCAAATAAAAGGAAGAAAAAAAAGCTACTGTGGGAGAAGTGGAGCCAATATGATTTAATAAATATGTAAAGTTCAGAGCAGTAGGATGCAGATGCATGGAGACACTTTCTCACACACAGCATGTTCTATCCATTGCAGGAGTGAATCACGGTTTAAGTGTTCAGCCCACTTAAGCTTGCCTTTGCAAGTCACAGAGGTTTGAAGTGATTTGTGAGGCGTGCAGTGTTTATGGAAATGCACACGGCGGGATGGAGAGTTAAAAAAAAAAAAAACAACAGACTATTAGCACAAAGGAGAGTTATTGGTGAAAGAAAATGCTCAAGTACTTTGAGCCTGTGTGTTGAACTTCAGCAAGAGCAGATTAAACCCAGGAAACATTTAGAAATGGAGTCATGGCATGAGATATGTTAGTTTTTTTCCCCCATGTCTTTAAGATATTTATCTAAAAGTTTGAACGTTTCTCTTTGCAGACAAGTTCAAGATGTAAATATAACATTTCGAGAATTGCTAAAGACCCCATCTGGAATTTGGCTTTTGCGTTGACTAGGCCGTGGGAAGGTTTTCATCTGAAGTTTTCCACTGTATCTAATCTTTCTTTCTTCTGTTGGAAGATGAACCTCCACCTCAGTGTCAAGATCTTACAATAAAAGTCATTTTCTCTCAGGATAGCCATGAATTTAGTTTGTACACCTTCTCTTTTAACTGTAACCAGCTTTCCTGTTTCGGCTAAAAAACGTCCCAACAAACTGATCCAAACCGAGTTCAGACTGAGCTTGGATCAGTTAACAGTGCCAAAGTCGGTTCCTTACCATCGTTTACACCATGCTAGTGCTCGCCCCCTAGTGACTATCTACGGTACTACCGCTCTCTAGAGGTAAACATGCACATCAACATAGCAGTGCTCGTAACATTCAGGAAGTTTGGTTATAATTAGGGCTGGGTATTTTCGTATTTTCAAAGTCCTGAATCGATTCGATTTTGATTCATACAGTTCTAAGTCGATTCATTTCGATTCGATCTGTTTTTACAATAATGAAAGTGGTTCAACTGTGTTTCAAAATACTCATGTATTTTATTTTTTTCCTGTCACATTAAACACAAAGCGCAAACTTGTAAATCGGACAGTTTAAACTTGAGATGTGAACAAAACTGTCTCAAAAGTGCAAACATGTTTTTGAAAAGTGAAAAAGTGAAGCCTCACTCGAGCAAGCAGACGTGACACAGCGGGGACACAGCAGACATGCATGAGCGGTATTATCTTCACTGTACAAACCATATGTGCAGCGTTGTCTGCAACAACTACAGGGTGTTTTCTAGTCAGCCCCCATTTGTTAATGTCTTCAGTCAATCTATTGGCTATATTTGCAGCTGTCTGGCTTGTAATCATTTTGAGAGCATCTTTCCTGCTCATTTGAATGTGAACATCACTCGCATCACTATAAAACCAATCGATCTCATTTCCTAGACATCGATTTTGCAAAACTGTAAAGGAATCGATTCAAAATCGATTAAATCGATTTTTTTACCCAGCCCTAGTTATAATTGTAAGATTTTTTTGTTTGAGGATAGTCAGGCGAAGAAGGCAGCCTTTGTTGAATTTACTGGACAGGGTCGGCTTTTGTGAAGTAGATACAAGAAACAATAGTCTAATCAGGGCTTACAGATGCAGGGAAAGACAGGAGTTCAGGTTCATCACACTGCTAAGCAGAATCGTCACTGGAAATCGTGTGGCACGGTAAGGAAGCTAGTATTTTTATGATTGTCTGAAATTTTATTATTATAGAGGCTGACTGTAAGAAGATGACGCCGTCTTCGCTCCTTGTTATCTGAGAACTGATCCAGTACCAGTATAGCACGGTTCGGTTGTGTCTGGCAGAGTCCGGCTCAGTTTTGCGTGCCATTTACACTCAGTTATCCCAGTTACTTTGCTCGGACTGTTATCGGCCAATTTAAAAAAGGGTAGTGTAAATGGGGCTTAAGTTTACTACTAAATTGTGGTGAGAGTCATTGTTAAAACAGTTAAATAAGAAAGAAGGGTTGAAACTTCTTCCTTTTGATATAGTTAATTGATATGATTTTATATAAACTTGTTTTTAGGCTTTTTGACAATAAGTATATCAGAAAATTGACCTTAGAATATAAACTAAAGATTTCTTTGACTTGTTCATTAATATATTAACCCTTTAAAGCCCGATCCAAGAATAAAACAAAACAGAAAATTACTTTTTTTTGGTTTGAAGTCCTTATTTGGCCTTTTAACAACATATGTAAAAAGAAAAAAAAAACAGAAATACATTTTTGATAATTTATTACTATGCAATAAGTCAAGATTATTTTTTGTGTAGTCTTCTGCCCTCTGTTATCAGGTATATCTGATTGTGTACAATAGGGGCAAAGTTTTTACCATTAAATTATGCAAAAGGTGTCAGACGCCAAATATTTCAGAAACTGTATGTATCAAATATGATACATTTGGCATTTCAGGGTTAAATTCATTAATATGCGGGACATTTAAAATTACACAAGACAGAGTTGTTAATTAGTTCTTTATTGAGCTTTCCTTGTCATAAACAGTATCAAAATAATCGGGCATTGGAGTTCAACACTCACTGTAAATGCTACAATAACATTGAAAATGTATTAAAACACAATACGTCCACATTTGGGAAAGATGAAAGAGATGAAGTGGCCTGAGTTAAACAGACGCAGTGAAGGAGAAGCAGATCAGATGTTCGATAACGGGACAAAGGAGCGATGGAGCAGCACGTGTGGCCTTGCTCACCCCGTTACTCCCTGTATCGTCCTCAGGCCTTTCTTCCAGCCCCTGATCCGACCCACTCTGCTAACACTCACGCAGCATGAATGGTGGTAATCAGAACAAGTGTCCGATCGCTGCAGGCATCCAGTGGTCTCAGTGGCTCCGGGTCACTATCATTGGCTAATTAGCTTTCTCCCAGAGTATCCCAGCTGTTCTGAGGAGAAGTCATTTTAGCACACACACATACGCACACATATCTGGGCACAGCCAGCGTCTGCACATACAATAGACTGTCATTTAGGTATGATTGCTGCTCGCCTTTACCATACAGAGCGAGGGTGATGGGGTCAAGTCAGGGTTGCAAGTGGATGAGTGTGTGTGTGTGTGTGTGTGAGGGAGCTGGAGAGACGAGAGGTCTGATTGGTGTTTTAAAGAATATAACAAGTCCATCAGGGTAAAAAAAAAAAAGATGATCTGAGCTTCACCAATTCTACCAGATATTTACAAACCGAAGGCAGAATGAAGCTCTTGGATGTGTTGTCCTTGTAGATTGTTTTCACTTGAGGGTGGAGAGACCTTGGAAGAGTTTGGCTAAGTTAACCTCAGAGTAGCCACTGGTGGCCAAAGCCTTGTCTGGGACTTCCTTCAGCTTCAGATACGCATCCCGTAAGCTGTTCCATTTCTTCACATGGCCTGCAAAGAAAAGGAAAAATACATACGGTTTTAAAAACATGAGACTCCAGCGTTACATCTCACATCAATGCTGCAGAATCCCTTATAATAAACACTCAGGAGCATTTGAGGCTTAACTGCAAAGCCAACAGATCCAGCCCTGTCTGAAAGTAATGCTATTACTTTGAGGACTGGATGGGCAATCACACAGAATTAAACTGATGGGTCGATGGCGCATGCATCCACGAAGGATCATGAGATCGATGGAAAAGCCCGATGAGAGCATGAAGTCAATATCTCGTCCCTGTTATCTCTTCAGGTGGGCTGTAATAAGGCCAAAGAGAAGACTGAGGGACGGCTCTCCAGGACAGGATGGCAACCACAAGCAAACCTTTTCAATATCATAGCGAGCACCGAGTGTAGATCAAGTAGCATGAAACCAAGTAATAACACCATCACCGCACAAAGGAGAGCAGTGGATAGAGCAGTGATCTGAGCGAAGCAGCCTGGTTTCGGCTCAAAGACATTTAAGAGGAGAAAGCAAACATTTTGGAGGCTCTCCATCTTCCTTTCTTTCTGGCAAACCTTCTAAATTCTTAGTTAATAATTCATTGGCAGCATTTTAGCCTTAAATGAATTTATTAAAGTAGATGTTTTCCTATCAATCAGATAACCCATTGATACTTTAGCTAATAGAAAACAAAAGGTTTTATGGTTCTTAACCTCCGAACTGACTGAAAGCATTTTAGGAGCCCCTCAGAAATAACACACAGAAATCAGAAAAAATAGGAAAAACCTGAAATTGGACAGTTTTGTTTTGGTTTAGATCACCAAAAACACCCTACTGACCCAAAAACACATTAGATTTCTTTCTTTCTTTTTCCTTAGATTGTTTCCATGACAGTCAGGCTGTGTTATTACAGCATTTTGAATCCATTCTTACCGACATAAAGTCATTCCAAGAAACACTGACCTGTATAAGAGTCTTTAAAGTAATTCAAACAAAGCCGCCATGTCGTTTGATTAAGCAAAACTGAAATATCTCTTGTTATTCAGACCATCTATGAAGCAGTAGGGTTTGATATTTTGAAGTGTCTTGAAAAGAGACACTAAAAACTCCACAAGATCATGGCGGCGTCCTTTTATTGTAATTCAATAAGGACCACAAACGTCTCATATGTGTGTAAAATGGAAAATTGTGTGAAAATAATGGGCTAAGATCAAGAACATCAGAGGTCATCATTAGATAAGGATTTAAATTAGGAAATAATTGCAACTATTCCTTCTGTCTAAAAATATTTTTTAAAGAAAGAATGAAGCAGTTCTGCTTATAAAGCTGGAGCCAACATTGGCTCACATTAAAATAATGGTCTTTATATAGTCAGTATTTCCTTCTTTTAAGTGTTTGTTTATTTTTTTTTACATTTAGAGCTGCATCATTTTGGGAAAATAAATAAATAAGTGTTGGACTGACGTTATTTGACTTGATTATTAGATAGGGATTCAGTAAATGCTGGCGACTTTCCACGGTGTACCCTGCCTTTAGCTGCTGGTGATAGGCACCAGCCCCACCATGACCCAGAGGGATGAACGGGTGGATGGATTCAGGAAGTAGCATGAATACAAGGATGAACAGCTGTCAGTTGAGGAAATGATGTATACAATATATAATTTGAAGTCTACGTTTGGTGTTGGGCCATCTTGATGTTTAGCTGGGATCATGTTATTGATCTTCCGGGTCAAGAACGTGGCATCAGCTGATGAGAGAAGATGTAAGAATTTGTACCATCTATCAGTCAGTTGTCTCGGTTTAGATCATAACCACTTTATCTGTGATTTCAGGTTTCTTTTCTAAATTTTAGGATTCACTCTTCTGTAGCTGAGTTTGTATTAACTATGAAACTGCACAAATTGTGATTAGGAAAATAAATCTGCTAAGTGGAAACTTTGTAATTAAAAAAAGCCCAGTTGCATCGAAATTGCAATATTTTGCAAAACTGCAACAGAAATACATGATCTGCAACTGAACCTTGCTTGTTTAAAGAGAAAGACAGGAAGTAGTTGGAGGATGATGGCGCCCACTAGAGCCGTGGTTGATCTATATAGATATATCTCATGTGTTACAGCCGCTGACGATGTGTTGTTTTCTTAGTTAGCGCATAAACATCATATTCCCATGCAGTTTTTCTCGTATTTGATGGAAATACCGCATTTCTGAAACTTTGCTTTTTTTTTTATTTAGCAGAATATTGACAGTTTGGCTCACAACTGTAATGAAAAGGCATGTTCTAGTGGGCTTTTTAAATTATCTTTGTCTCAATGTGAATTTTTCCAGGAGGCTAACCAGGTGCTTTCTACAGAAGCAGCATAGGGAGAGTGGAGAGTGTGTGGTGTAGAGGCTGCAGCGCATCAGACTGGAAGAAAGCGAGGAGAGTAGTGAGGACAGCAGAGAGGATCCTCTGCCCTCTATTAGGGACATTTCATCCAAGCGGTGCGTGTCCCGATCCCATAACGTAATCAAAGACCCTTCACACCCCCACCATGAACTGTTCTCCCTGCTGCCCTCTGGGAAGAGGCTTCGCAGCATTCATCTCAGGACCAGGAGGTTCTGCAACAGCTTTTTCCCCGCTTTCATAAGACTGTCAAACTCTAATCAAGACTCTGCATCACACTTGCAAAACATATTTGCACTACCAACGTGGCTGATTTTTCATTATCCCTTTAAATAGAACACAACTCAATGTTCTACTGCATTTTGCACCACATGTATTTATTTACACTGCACTGAACCTTCCATACCAATGCCTTTTGCAATGACTTTAAACAGTTTTTTCTTTTCTCCTCCACTGTTTACAATCATGATCACTGCTGCACGTCATAAATGGAAATGTTCATTTCACTGCTAAGCTGCTCATTCACTGTTGAAAAGCTGTATGCATCAAAATGTCATTTTATATACTGTATATACAAAATAACAAAGTTTGTCTAAGAAACCAATGAAGGTAGCTGGATATCCACCTCCTTGAAGGACTTGTTTTTGATTCACAGAAAACCTTTGCTTAAAACCTAATCCTCTTATCTTTAGAAATCTGATTGGAATAAGAAAAGCATCCTGCCGAAAAGACTTTTTCCATTTTGTAATCTATTGGTCCGTTTTAGTTTCGATCCACTAAGTTGCCCATATGGCCAGTTGCCCTCTCCATGTCCATATCTCCTCTCTCGTCCTTCCTGTCTGCTGCATTAGTGGCTACTGGATAAATACATGCCCACTGACAGCACAGAGGAACAAAGGTTAGATACACATGCCGGCCACACACACCCACACACTAAAAGAATATATACACAACAGCGCAGGTAGTTAAACACTTAAAAAGCCTGGTAACTCAGCCGCTAAAAAACATCCACCAGTCAAACAGTAATCACACATGCATGTGCTCACATCCATGTGTGAAAGATGGTGTGGTTGACTTAAAACGCCAACGGCAACTATTACCAGATAATCCTCATTTTGACGGGGATACGGGGTGGGGGTGGGGGGGGCAAGGGGATAGAGGAGAGGCAGGGAGAGACTATTTATCCGGGGAATAGAAAGGGGGTGATGATGCATGATCAAGCGAAAGCAATCATGTCATCATTTTCTGAAAGGTAGAAGAAAAATAATTCTCCCCTTCCCCTCCCACTTCTTCTTCTTCCAACCCAATCACTGTGTGGCGAACAGATAAAAAGAATGATTTAAGAGTCACAGAGAAGAAAAGAACGAGAGAGAGATCTCTGTGTGCAAGTCGGGGCTCTGTGGGGAGTGTGGTTCAAATAAATAGTCTCCTCTATTGAGGGAGAGAGAGGCAGAAGAAAGGGAGGGGGGGTGATGCTGTGGACAGGTATGGGCCCGGTTACCTCTATCAAGGACACAGGGGTTTAAAAAAAGTGACCAGGAATAGTTTCTTAAGTCCCTTAAATGGGCTAAAGTGACATTATGAGTTTTCTCTGGGTCTAAGGTACTGTATATAGAGCTCTGCACTACCCCCACCTGTTGCTGCTGACTGCAAACAAGCAGGCTAAAGGTGAAATGGCAGCTGTTTGGAAAAACTCAAGGCTTTAAATAACGAACTCTCTGAAGAGGACAGTGAACGCAACACCGTGGCACATCTGTAGAGCTGCTGACGGCAGATTGCTCGGCTAATTAACCAGCTACTATCCGACAATTAGAACTTAATGAAGAGCAGGACAGTAAAACATTCTGTGCAGAAAGAACCGAAACACTAAAAATAAAATTGATTTCTGTAAATTATCTGAACCTGTGAAAACAGATGGACCAAGCAACATTTCTCTGGTCCACTTTCCCTGTAGGGCCGACCCAACAATTCAGTTTTTATTCTATGCCTTATAAGACAGAACAACATTGTGACAAAGTGGTTCAGTTTGTGTTTACCACTTGTACCTTATTCTTTCTTCTGATTTGTAATGCTTAAATTTAAACATTAGTTTAAACTTTGCTTCACTTACTATCCTGGGTTTGTTTGTGTTAGCATTATGCTGTAGTTTCCATCTATTTATGTTTAGGTTAAAGCTATTACTTCTGGATTATTGGATGAAATTGTTTATTATGTTTCAAAGTATATTCATGGTATTTGTTTTTACTCACCATTGTTTGTTTAAGTATTTCCTACTAAATTGACCTGATGATGTCATCCATTACCTTGCTGGGTTGTACCATTTAGAGGGTTTCCTTTGGGGTTATGCTTTGTTTGTTTTTCTTTAAAGTAACTTTTTGAGTTATCTTGTATCACATTGTTTATTTTGCAGACTCTTTCTATATGTAGATGAGTTTGTAAATTAGATTAATTTTATTCTTGTTTCTCTGTTTAGACTTTGTTTGTCAGAGTGAAATGCTGAATAAAAGGCAACAGAGAAACTGGAACCGGTGGCTGAAGCAGTTTTTTTTTTTTGGTTCACCTTATTGATCCACGACCAAACTACCTCAAAAACATGTCAACTATTTTCTTTGATAGATGTTTAGTTTTGATAAAATATAAAGAAAACAAAGGAGGTAGAGGATGAGGATAATCTAAACCTTAACTGCGATTCAACTTTTAGACAACAAAATAGAGAACAGAGTGAGAAACTATCTTTTCCAAGAACATGATTGATGTGTTTCTAAGCAGAAGACAATGGGAATAGCAAGTTTTGAGGCCTTCAACAAAACTTTGGGCAAACCCAAAAAAATATCCGTCCACATGTTCAATAGTTTCACCATCAGTAGGAAAACTGTTTCTATAAAATCCCCTACAAACACTGTAAAATGATGAAGCAAAGTAAAATCCAGCAGTTTTCTGATCTTGGTTTCCCTCTTCCACGCCCTCATGTTGAGTCCAGCACATGTGGGCCCACACAGCGAGCCTAGCAGAGGTTATCTCTGCACTAACTAGGTGTTGTCACACACTCCCGCACACTCCGGTGGAGCCGGGCACGAGTAGATCGGGGCTCTGCACGCTCTAACTAGGTGTAAATACAATAACAAGCCTGTAATTAAGTGAGCATGATGAAGTTAATGGAGATCGGCCATTCTGTCGGCCGCCTCCATGAATATTCTATTAGGCTGGTGGCGACGGGCAGCTGGAATAGCAGTTAATTTAATCACTACTCGGAGCACGGGGAAACTTCTTTGTGTGAGTGTAATTGCACAGAATGAATAATTGATTTGACAATCGCACCCGTGGATTTTGCCACCCCGCTTTGTATCAGCGGAGGGAAAAAAAAGGGGAGGGGGAGCGTGGAAGATGGAGAAGGGAAGAAAATAGGAGAAGAGGAGAGAAAAGACAGAGCAGGAAGAAAAGGGAGGAGGAGCGAACGTGGAGCACCCGTAAGGTGGCAGGGAAGCTGGATCATTAGAAAGGCGCAGCTCAAGGACAATTTTTATTTTATCAATGCGGTGAAATTACATTATTGCTCACACACGCAATCATACTGCCCACACTCAGGACTGAGACCTAGGGGAAAGGATGGAGAGGGTGGGGGGAGTAGGATGAGGAAAAAGGAAGTAGAGGGAAGGAGATACAAAATGATTTGAAAGTCATTGATATGGGATGTTCCCAGCTAAAGAACGGACGGCGTTGGGGTTTCTCCTCTCTCTATCTCACTGTGTGCGCGCGCCCCTCTTTTTGTAATCTATTAGAGATCTCCCGTGGCGGGTGAAATTACCTCCATGTTTTACTCAGTCGCAGCAATCAGGCACAAAAACGCAATGTACATGTAGATAAGACGGCCTTGCAGAACGCATGCACGCGAACACTGCAGAGAACACAGCGCAAAATTACAATCTGCGTTGAGTCAGAGCTCCTTTGTGTCTCACACACAGCCTGTGCAATTTTCCATTAATGTCTTTTATTATATACGTTCAATGCACAGTTGAAAACATACACCGAGCCTGCATCATGGCTACCTGCAGTGGAAAATCCCAGATATTGTCTAAAGTGACGGGTACAGTCATGATACACATTTACTTTGAGCTAACAGCAGAACATAAATGCCGCAGCTTTCTTTCAGATCAATCCTCTGAAAACACCAAAACCGGCAACTCTTAAGTAATTCCTCCGACATGTAAATATAGGCATCTAGCGTGTGGCCAGTGTGGAGAGTGACAGATTGAGAGCAGGTAGAAATACTGAGCTCTTTTACCAGCCAGCTAGCAGTTTCCAGTGTTGATCAGAGTCGCCGTGCTCCGACAGCAGGGCCTCATGTTGGTAATCACCCCTCTGTCATTCCCCACCTCTGGAGCGTCCGCCCAAACCGGCGTTAAACCAACAGTCGCAGGAGAATATAGAGTAATAACAGAGGGAAGGATGAGCCGTCTCCAGCCCGGCGAGAATGTTAAAACAAAGAGAAACGTCTACTGTTCAATTGTCAATTCTGATCTAAACAATAGAGTCAATGGGTGTAATGGAAGCGGATTATATGTATTTTCAGCCCCAAAGTTAGCCTCCAGGGGAGTATTTGTCACAAATCTAGTTCCCACATAGTTCCTCCAGCCAACTGAGTCAATCTATAGGAGTTTACCTAAATCATCCATAGAGAGATTAACTATTACTCCTGAAGTGAGGTGTGTAGAAGTGTAATCTGAGCGACGAGGCGCCTTGGTGTGTAATGCAGTAATGTGGGGTATTACTTCCCCAGGACGGAGGGATTACACCTTCAATCTATGTTTTAAAGCAGCGTGACACCATCTATAGGGGTGGCTTTCTCCATATTGTGTGGGAAATAAAACCACCTAGTTTGTAAGTGAGATTAGAGGACTGACCGTTTTGGTTTTCCACTTATTAAACATTGTATTTTGTAGTTTTGTGCTATTTAGCAGAGTTTAAAGGTAGGATGCAGTTGCTGAAGCGGACCAAACCCCCTATTCTAGCTAAACCTATTGTCTACTAAAAGAAAAACAATGCCAAAAGGAAGTATTACACTATTTAAGGATTTAATCCAATTTTTCTTTTTATCACATAAAAAAAACTAAATTATCAAACTAAAATAAACTGAATATGAGGGTTTTACAAATGTTTTCAGAAAAAAACCTGAATGACCAGCACCGGATGGGCTATAGCAGCCTGAATGAATAACTGACATCCTTAATAGCTTCTTAACCCTGTTGTTCTTCCTCTGATTTGATTTTAAAAACCTCACAGATTATGGAAACAGATTTGTTTGAGTTCTTATCGCTGTAACTGCTTCCTCACTGAAGAGTGAGTTCGTTTAGTCTGGTAGGGTGCAGGAATTGTTTGTTTCTAGATTGATTTTCTCACTGCACCTCAATTAAAATGATCATTTTTTCTATTTATTTCCTGTAGAAGCTCTCAGGCTTTTACTGATTAAGATCCAAGAAACTGCTTCACAACCATGAATCAGTAATGTTCCCTATGTAGCCCAAAACAACAGAAATGTACTGTATAGGTCTGTGATCCACATACAGAAAAAAAAAAAAAAAAAAAAAAAGGCAGGAAGTGCCCACAAATCACCGGCACAATAGAACCTAAAGAAAAGAGGAAAGTCGAGGAATTGATTGGTGATGATTTCTTGCATCTGGGCCTAGACGGAAATAAAAGAAAGCAAAAAATGGAGGCTATAATCATGTTAGCACCCCCCAACCTCCCCTCTTTTTCTACACTGGCCCAATCCCTCTATTTCAGCTCGCTCCATTTTCTGAGTGGTCATCTGTTGATTACACGTTATATTTAAGTCTGCCGTCTGGCTCCTTTGCTGCCTCGCTTTGGCCTGAGCTCACCGCACTCACGGGACTCAGGCATACATACATAAATAACATACATACATAAATATTTAATCAAATAAATAAATCACTCGGCCCGGCGGCCCTTTCTAATCAAGTGACATCAATCAGGGAGAACTGTGGGTAAAGAGGCCTTGCGGCTGACGCCTACTGAGTGCACCCGGATCGTTGGAGTAGCGTCTATTTGAGTCCAAGGGGGGAAATATACGCTCCATGTCCCATTACAGGAGAAGGGCTATCCTTTCGTCAGCGCGCCCATTACTCGCCCTATCATTTCCCCAAATCTAAAACCTGTTTTCAATCAACACAGCCAAACGAGTGCCTGTCCAAGAGAGGCAGAGAGAGAGAGACAAGAAAGAGAGAGGGAGCACCGCAGAGAAAGGAGCAGAGATGGACAGTGAGGGTAGAGGGAGAGAGATGGAGGGCTCTCTCCTTCTTTCTTCCAGTGATTGGAGCGTTTTGCATTCTGTATGTGTGTGTGATTGAATCCGTCTCCTAAATTAGGGCTGTCGACTCGAGGAGCTGAATGTCCTTAACCCCCCCTCCCCATAACCAATGCCTGGCTGCCGCCGCTGGCGAGTGTGTGTGTGTCACATCACTGGTGAATATTTTAAGTGCAGCCTGGCTAAAAGGTTTATGTTGAGACTTTGATTGCTAATGCTATGTTGTACGTGTGAGAAAGCATTGTTAACTTATTAAAATTCAAAGTTTCTCAGCGCCTCGGCTAACTTGATTTCCACTCCAAAGCCAGTAAAGAGGAACAGGAACAAAGACAGCCCAAAAAGCAAGCAGGGATTGTTTTACGTTAAGTAATAAAGCTGGGATCAGAGTGATAAAGTAGCTGATGTGCGTAAAATCTTACCTCTCTCGTCAGACTGTAGAACCTTGGCCATGGCGTAGTCCCAGTCAAAGATGTATCTGTAGAAGCAGAGCTGGTTGTACAGAGCCTTCTCCGAGTACTGCAAAGAGAAAACCAACATTGTTAAAATAACACTGGCCAAAACAATTGCAGCACCTCAATAAACCTGAACATCTACCTTCTAAGTTTAATATTTTGTTTTCATTTAGAATATTGAATCAAAAAAGCAAAAATTTGCTGCTTCTTTCAACTTTTGGATGCTTCCCCCCCACTTTTTAATGTCTACCCTTTTCCAATCTCTTGTTAAACTGCAGATTTTTCCATTCTCACATCTTATTTAACCATTTTTGTTCCCTCCCAGCTGCCACTTCTTCTGACCAGCTGTGTTACCTAAATGATGAATTGTTTAAAAATGGCTTAAATGAGGGCTAGCATGTTTGCACATATGGTTCCCTCCAAAAAACAAATAAATAACATCCATAAACTGGCCATGATGGTGACTACAAAACATTAGCCAATCTACTTTGCCTACTGACTAAAGCACATTGGCTACTTGTTTGTCAAACATTTTGCATACGTGCCCCTAGTATCTTATTTACGTAGGCTCTAAGCGTAATTCATACGAGGTTTGACTAGCACGCCCCCATTACACCAAAGCTTGTTTGCTGCTGCAGCTTTTTTTGTTGTTGCTTTTACATAAACTTCTGCTGCAAAGGTAAATTATGTTCAATTCTGTGGTTTTAGTAGCAGCAGCAGCGAGAGGACAGCAACTAATTTTAAATGTAACTTGCAGTGATAACGCCGGCAGAGACGTCTTCTTCTTATGGAGATTTCCTGCTGACTCGGTGAATACTGGCACTTTTCGTAATACAAAATTACTTCTGGCGTAGAGATCTTTAGTGAAGGAGGGGGCACTGATGCATGCACATGATTCAAAAATACACTAACAGCCGTCGGACATATCTTCCACCAAAGAATCGTCTTTCCTGCCTTTAACTTTTGAAGGTCCAATGAAAGTTAAACTGCATGTTTTCCTGTCTCTCCTCATTTGTGTTATATTTGTACACAAGGCAAACAGGAGGTCATGGATACTACGTAAATTTGGATTAAAAAATGTAAAACATAAATTTGAAATAAGCTCAGTTATACTTATTTTATAGGAATTAGTAGGGATGCCACTAAATGTGGCAGCAAAATACACAGTACTTCTCTCTCTCTCACGTGGGCATTGTTAGTTTAACGATACCTTCCGCGAGTCTTCTCAAAATTTGAAATAATTGTTGACTGCAGATGTGTCTCATAGTTCCCATTGATTTGGCTTGTAAAGCAGGGAGAATGGCGCTAGGCTTACCGTACCGTGACGTCACTTCTGCAAGATGTCAGGAGTGGGGTGTTACTATATTCGGGCAAAAATGGACGGTCCTGGACTCAGTGATCTCAACAAAAAAATATATATTTTTTAATTGATTAACATAGAACGTATCAGCTTTAGGTATAGATAATACTTTTCCTTTCAGTCTACTTTGAGTTTGAACTTCTGTATCTGGGTGTTGCAGACAATGCGCCAATTAGCCCTGATGCATTCACTGACTGGAAACACGATTGGAATTTTAGTTTTAACTGACCATGGAGGGATGGCCAAGACTAAAATAATGAATCATTGCTATTTGGTTTCCTGTTGCTGCACTGAAAAAAAGACAAAAGTTGGAAAAACACTAGCTAAGATGTAATTTATGTCAAGGTTACAGCACACAAACCTAAATCAAAATAAAGTAAGCTTAGAAAGCAAAAACAATTAAAATGTTGAGACAAAATTCTGAATCCAACAAAACTGAGTCACTAGTTTTTTAAATGACAATGTAAGAACCTTGAAAGGCAAAAGACAGATACTTTAATACGCTTCAAGTGATCGAGTATAAGACTTGGAACAAAACGATAAACAAGTGGATCCTACACTGAATAAGACAACAGAGATTCATTAATCTGAATTTCCTGGTTGCTGCTTAGACAACCAATCCTCTCATCATATAAAACAACTTTATGATAAAATTCAAAATGTTTTGATATGTTAAACACTAATTAAGCAGAGTTATCTCACTAGCAATGATCTTTCATTCTATTTATTAGTTTCAGGCAGTTAAAAGTGGATTCAAGATCATGACAGGACTAAAAAAAAAGCATGAAGAATAAATAATAGATGTGTTTGCAAGATTCTGTAAGGGCACATCCCGCCCAAATGACTAACCCTCCCTGCTAACATCCCCCTTCCTCTGTGTGACACAGTAAAGCTAGAAAACAAATTTGCTTGCTTTGTTAATTTCCACTGCAATTAAGCAGAGCCACATGACAGCCTGCCAAAGGGAGAGAGAGGGAAAGAGACGGAGAGGATGAGCTAGACATAGCAGTGGGAGGGAAACAGAGAAGAGCGGGAGAGGAGAGAGAGAAAGGCCTGAGAGACAGCAAAAACAGAAGTGAAGAGGGGAGAGAGAGGAAGAAGAGAGGGGATCAGACCTGATACACCCTCCCTCATAATAGTTTGTTGTGATAAGCCATTGTGAGAGAGGCATGCGAACAGCCGAGGCTGTCAATTTGATTAGCCATTATACTGGATGTTTAATTGCAGTTATTGGCTCGTCATTTCCCAGCTACACTGCAGAGGGCACGCTAAGCCTCGACCCCACACTGCCATCAGGTGTGCGCCGAGTGCTTCATTATTACCACCAGGAAGAATCCCCTGACAATTCCTGCACGCCGAGCCGGTTTGTGTGTTAGCCCATTATACCTGCCAATCGGCAACACGCATAATTGTAATTTCAGTTTTCACTGCTGTGGCATAATCAAGTGGTGAGAGTATCTAATGCAGCTAAATGCAAACTATGTGTGAAAGTGAGAGAGGGTGTGTGTGTGAGAGTGTGCGTGTTTAATGGCTTTCTATCGCTGCCCACATGGCACGCACAGCTGTTGACCGTTGATGCACTGCCTAGTCAACAACCAAACCATGCACATCCCATAATGGAGCCTCGGTTACGGTTGCCAAGGTTGAACGAGCTCAGTCGGCACAAGCACCGAGCGCCACCTCTTCCTCTTGAAACATAAAACACTCACACACACACACACACAGAAGCTAGCATTGGAACAATACACTGCTGATTGTGGGCGGGTCCTTCGCTGCATACTGATTGACTGACAGGTGTCAGAGAGGTGTGGCTAAAATGTAACAGGATTGTTATTGAATTTAGAGCCCCGCAACCCCACCTCACTCTGCTCCACACACACACCGACACACACACACCTCTACCTCGTCATTCAGCTCGGCGCTTTGTTCCCGCACTGACACCATTTCAATTTGCTCCACAAATCTGCAGCATTTTCAGCCTGACTGCCTAAGGAGCAAACCAGCTGTGAAATTGCCTCTCTCTTGGGAGTGTCGGAACCCCCCCCCCCACACTTTGCACCCCTTTGCTCCTTTGCCTTTAGCATCTCTGTCTCGCTAACCCCCTCGCCCCCTCCAACCTAAATACACAGGTACACATCCTTACCCTGTGTAAGGACTCAAAAACACAGACAAATAAGAGAAGGAAGCAGAAGGCGTAGGATGTAAAGCATGCAAAAAAGGTAAGAAACACAAAAAAAACGGCTTTAAATCAAGTAGATTAAATAACATTGATGAAATGGCTTCTACCACGCTAAGAAAAACAAAAAACAGCCATTCCTACATGGTCCAATTACCAAAATAAACTATACCTATATAAGTTTTAAAATGTACACTTAAAAAAAAGCTAAAATATTGCCTCTTACTTGTTGCTGTACATTTCCAGCTATCTAGCTAAAAAATAAAGTTACTTCATATTTTCCCATGTTTACAAGAAAGAACGAATTAGGCTGTTTAGGAATATTTCTGAGAACATAAAACAGAGAAATGAAACGCTGTTTGGGATTAATGAAAGAGGCCTTCCTAGTCTTCTCTCTCATAAAGACAAATACAAACCCGGCTGTTTGGAAATAACACAGGCAGGCGTAGCGTGGAGACTGAAGACCTACGTAGCCCTGTTATTATGCTAAAACAGCTTAAAAAGTCTAGTTGGTGAGCTAGCAACAAGTTTGCTAAGCAGCCAACGGCTGACTGTATCCAAACAGATAAAACCCACAAATTAACCAGCTAAAAACAGCCTGTTAGACTCCTGACATAAAGAGCAGAGCCTCAAAATAACTCTGGACAACAATGCCCACCATACCGGCAGCAACAGCTAGCATGCTGCTCCATCCATTTCCCCACACTGCTTCTTTTGATCTATTCTAACACCCACACTTTGAATAGGACTCCGCTTTGGTTTATTAATTTAATTTAATATCTGAATATGATCTGTATTGGGAACCCCTGCAATAAACAAGCTTATAGGGGGAAAACCTTACTAAAAGTCAGAAGTATAAGCTGAAGTATGAAATCTTAAAGTAAGCCCAATGAATGCAGCAATAGAATAGAAAATCCCTTTATTGTCCCACAATTGGGTAATTCTAGTGTTTACAACCGCAAAAATAGTTTAGAAAAAGTTGTCACACAAATGTGGACTTTAGAAATATATAAATACTAGTGAAGAGTTAAAAGATAAACAACAAAATACTGTGTAAAGTGTTTTAAGAATATAAAACTGTCCACCTGGAGAATAAATTAACCATTATACAGCTATGGACATTTCAATTTAGCAGCAACATCAGAGATGTGCAAAATGACAGCAGCATGTTATTTAACTGATTAAGATAGAAATTGTACAAAATCAGCATGAATCTATCAACTTATTGAGGTTGTTGGGAACAGTGGTGATT